AAGGAGTTCAAAGAAAGCAGTGACTGAAAATAGCGATGCGCAGGGGCTGGTATAGAGAGGGAAGAGTTGAAGGCAGGAGTGTGGATGAGATTGCTCTGAGAGATTATTTAGTGTAAAGAGAAGAGGGCCTAGACCAAATCTAGAAAAACACCAATTACCAAAGGACCCAAAGCAAAGACGTTGAAGAAATAATCCGAGAAACAGGAGGAGAATAGAAAGAAGCCTCCGGGGAAGAGTTTCAAAAGAAAGTCAACAGGGTCCCCTTATTCAAAGAATGATCCAAGAAGACAAGGACTAAAAGGAGCCTACCAAAAGTCACGAGCGACCTTTCCTGGAAACCCTGTACACATTGTTGTTGTTGTTAACTGCCGTCGAGTCAGTTCCAACTGCATAGGGTTTCCAAGAAGCAGCTGGTAAGTTTAAACCACTGACCTTGCAGTTCACACTGACTTTGCAGTCCAGCACATTAACCCACAGTGCCACACCAGGATCAGATGTTTAATAGATGTTTTTTGAATGTAAGAATAGAGAGGGAGGGAGCCTCTCTGTTATTTTTTAATGTAAGAATGTTGTTGTTAAGTGCCGTCAAGTTGGTTCCAACCCATAGCGACCCTGATTAGGGTTTCCAAGGAGCAGCTGGTGAGCTTGAACTGCTGACCTTGCAGTTCAAATGGCTTTGCAGTCTGACACATTAACCCACAGCACCACACCAGGACTCCCAATGTAAGAATAGTGAGTGAAAAAAAGAAAAAGGAACCAGAAAACAAACATGTATTATGATTACAGAAATACATGTTGATTGTACATGCTTTGGAACAGTCTAAATAACTTTAAATGCCTTAAGTTTAAATTTTTTTATGTAATCTTTCAGTAAATTATAATTATACATTTGTTTGTATATACTTTTTGTTTGCAAAAAAGAAATTATATAATACATATTGTTTTATCATCTTGAACTTAATATCATATCTTCTTAAGCATTGTATTTGGTGGTATCACTGAATACCATCAGTTGCCATTTCTGATTATTAATATAAATTGCTCTCCTTATGCCAATATTTCTGTGTGTGCTTTTGATTGTTTTCTGAAGATAAGTTTCTAGCAGTAGAATTGCCAGGTAAAAGACATGATGGGCTTGGCTGCTGGGGACCTGGAACTCTACAGCTGTGAGATAATAAACGTCTTTTGATACATATGTATGTATATTTCAAAAATTAAGAGACATGACCAGAGAGACCAAGGCAAGATGACTAAGTCAGCAGATGTACTGAGTGGGCTCTCTGCAACAAAGATCTGGGAGATGGAATGAAACAGACACAGATGGGGATCCTGGAGCCCTGAGCACCAGAGGACAGGACAGAGAGGTGGACTGAGTACCCACTGGAAGAGGAAGCTGCACAGGAGCAGGGAGAGAGAGGAAACACAGGTGGACTGTGGTCTGGCATGAAACAGCACAGCCATCTCATTTTGTGACCAGCTGTTCACACAGCAGCCTGCAGACACAGGAAGTAGCTGGCGGCAAAGGGGTGCAGTTCTGCCTTGTTCCCTTGCCTTCCTATTAGCTGGGGGCCTGACTAGTCCCTGCCCTGGTTAACCCAGTGACCCAGTGGCACCACGTCCTGCACAGCCTTTGCTCTGTTAGGTCAGGTGCGTGGCATAGCGCCTCTTCTCCTGGAGGAGTGTGAACCATGCTGAACGATGCTACACAGTGAACAGAGAACTAACTGTATTCACACTTCCCGTCTCTACCACTTCCACCAGGAGTGGGTACCTGAGGTGGTGAGTACCTGAGATCACACCAATATACAGACACCACAGTGTCACAGAGAAAACAAAAATTTTCAGCTTACACAAAGAAACAAGTGACCAAAATACAGAGTTAGGAAATATAATATCAGAAATGTATCCCAACCACCTGGTAAGGAATTTTAAAGTATGCTAATTAGGGAACTTCAACAGATTGAAAGGAAAAGGAAACAACAGATGAAATCAACAAAAACATAGAAGAACAATGGGGAAAAAATCAGGAAACAAATTGACAAAACAGTTGAAAAATGGAAATCATACAAAATCAGCAATTAGAAAGTCAAAAGATTAACATTAACACTTCAGAAATAAATAATATATTGAAAGGGCAAAGAAATAGAATTCAATCAATGGAAAGCTGAATTACTGAGCTTGAAGAAAAAATTCTCAAAAATCATCTGCTGGAGGAAAGCTCTAAATATCATTTATATCACATGCAAATAAAATTTACTAATGATAACTCAAAAACAACTACAAGCATACACTAACAGAGAACTTCCAGAAGTTCAAGCTGGATTCAGAAGAGGACGTGGAATGAGGGATATCATTATTGACGTCAGATGAATCTTGACTAAAATCTGACAATACCAGAAAGATGTTTACCCATGCTTTATTAACTATGCAAAGGCATGTGTGAGTTATGACAAACTATGGATAAATTATGAAGAATGGGCATTCCAGACAACTCAACTGTGCTCATTAACAACCTGTACATAGACCAAGAGGTAATTGTTTGAACAGAAAAAGAGGACACTAAATGGTTTAAAACCAGGAAAGGGGTGCATAATCTTTCACAACATACTTATTCAATCTGTATGCTGAGCAAAATAATTCAAGAAGCTGAATTATATGAAGAAGAATGTGGCATCAGGATTGGAGGAAAACTCACTAACAAACTGTGGTATACAGATGATACAACCTGTTTGCTTAAGGCAAAGAGGACTTAAAATACTTACTGATGAAGTATTTTAAATACTTACAGCCTGTATGGGTTGTAAAGAACACAAAAATCCTCACCACGGGATCAAGAAATAACATCATAATAAATGGAGAAAATATTGAAGTTGTCAAAGATTTCGTTTTTCTTGGATTCACCATCAACTTTAATGGAAGCAGCAGTCAAGAAATCAAATGATGTCTTGAATTAGGCAACTCTACTGCACAAGACCGCTTTAAAATGTTGAAGAGCAAAGATGTCAGTTTTAGAATTAAGATGCACCTAGCCTAAATCACGGTATTTTTAATCTTATATGCATGTGAAAGTTGGACAGTGGATAAGGCATGGTATTGGAGAAGAATATTGAAAGGACCATGGAAGAACGAATGAATCTATGTTTGAAGAAGTACATCCAGAATACTCCCTGGAAACAAGGGTGACAGACTTCATCTCTCATACTTTGGACATATCACTAGGAGGGACCAGTCCCTGGGTAAAGGATATCATGCTTGGTAAGCAAAAAGAGGAAGACTCTAAAGGAAAGCTGGATCGACACAGAGACAGGAACAATGGGCTCAAATGTATCAACAATAGTGAGGATAGCTCAGGATTTTGCAGTACTTCATTCTGTTGTGCATAGGGTCTCCATGAGTTGGAGCTGACATGACAGCACCTAACAACAGAGGTCCAATCAGAAAAAAAGAACAAAAAAATAAAAATCTGAAGAAACCATAAGATTTGCATGGGACACTACCAAGAGGAATAACTTATGTATAACAGGAATTCCAGGGAAGAGGAAAAAAAAAAACACATAGAGAATATTGTCTAAGAGTTGTTGGAAGACAACCTTCCTAACATCATGAAAGACAAAAGATATCCAATCAAGAAGTTAAACGGGATCCAAACAGGATAGACCACAAAAGAAAAACACCAAGACACATTATAATCTAAAAACAAACAAACTTGCTTACAAAGGAAAAGTAAGAAGGCTAAGCTCCGGTTTCTCAGTAGAAATCATGCAGGCAGTGGAATGACAAAAGAAGACAATGGAATCACATATATAAAATTCTGAAAGCAACAAATTGCCAACTAAGAGTCAAATATCCAGCAAAACTGTGCATTATGTATGATGGTGAAATTAGGTCATTTATGGTGAAATTAGCTAATTTTCCAGACAAATTAAAAGACTTTGTGAAAACCAGACCAACTTTATAAAAAGATACTAAAGGGAGTTGTTTGAACAGAGACCCAACAGCAGTCAACAATCTGAGGCTAACATACCTGACACTATCTATCACGAGACTCAACCCAGATCTAGAAGTATGCAAAGTAAAACAGACCTGCTGTTGTTAAGTGCTGTTGAGTTGTTTCTGACTCATAGCGACTCTGTACAGCATTTCTGAGGAGCAGCTGGTAGATTTGAACTGTGGTTCACAGTCCAGTGCTGATCCTACAGTGTAACACCAGGAGTCCAAAACAGATCTGTAAGACTGAAAATAGAGAACCAGAGATACAGTTGCAAAAAACACAACAAAAAAGCATAAAGTAAAAAGGAGTAATCCAAATGAAGAGGAAATCAAACAGATTTCAGTAAGAAAAAAAACCGGTAAATAAAAATAAACCTAATGTAGCCCTAAAAACTAGACCAAGGCTTACTCCTAATCCTAGCCCAACCCTTACCCCTAACACTAACCCATCCTAACCATAACCCTACCAATAAATGAAGACCTAGACCTAACCATAGTCTCAACCTATGGTTGAGCCTTACTCCTCACCCCAAAACAGGCATGACATATCATCATTTGTTGTTATTATTATCTGCCATGGAGTCAGCTTCCCACTTATGACAACACCAATCACAACAGAATCAAACACTTCCGGGTCCTGTCACATCACCCTGAGCCACCCACAGGGTTTTCATTAATTGATTTTTCCAAGTAGTTCCCCGGGCCTTTCATTGTAAGATTTGCACCATATAGTATTTCCCAGGTTGTCCTAGAGAAGTCACACCTCAATTTAGGATTCAGCCAGGTTTGTAGGATGTCTTTGGCTCCAACTCTGAGCCTGTAGGAGCAGAAAAGGCTGCTGGGAGAACCAGCGTCCAGCGCTTTCTGAATTACCTAAGCAAGGAACCTAAAGAAATCGGGAATCTTTGTGGATTGCCATTGTTAAATAGGAAAATTATCCCTGGGAATGATCACCATGCCATTTTGGTATGGCAGAACACTGAACATCTCATAGGATTTTCATTTCTCAGTCTTCATAAACCAGGAGGATGCCAACAGCATCTTACACAGGCAAAGGCGAGCCAACTCATTCTGGGAAGAGCTGAGGTCCGGGTCACTGGAAAGGGAATGCAACGAGGAACAGTGCTCATTTGAGGAAGCCAGGGAGATCTTCAAGAGCACCGAGAGGACCGTAAGTACCTCATCAGAGAGGATGCTGTCTTCTGCTCTGTCTCAAAGGGTGTCAGTGTGTTCTCTGAGATGGTGGCAAGAGAGCTGTGCTAGATGACACTTTAGGGAAGTTCCTATCTCTTGGAGTCCATGTTTCTCCATCACTGAGGCTGTGACTGGTCCTCACCCAGGTGAATAAACACATAGACAGAGCCAGTCTACAAAGCCCCCCGTAACTGTCATTCTCCTGAGTCAGAGCGCCAACAGTGAGTGGTCTGTACTTCCCACTGTGTTCAGGGAGACCCTTCACTGCACACACTCTCCCCTACTCTGCACCCTAATGATGCCCCGGAGAACATGCAGTGTAAAGCACAATTACTAGGTACCTTATCTTTCCAAGGAAGGTCCATCCCACAACAAGCCCAGAAGATTCCAGGGCTCCCTGCGCAACGAGAAGGTGCAGCAGACAGGACAGACCATGAGAAGCTGGCCCTGGAGGAACCTCTCAGTGCCTTGCTGAGCTGTGTGGCCACCTCCTTAGGAAAAACATGCAAGGAGGAAACAACTATTAAAGGCACAACTGCTTCCCGCCTCTCTGTGCTTTGAAAGTATGACTGGAGCTGTCTTCATTTTTTGTTTTGCTTTTCTACTAAGACATATTTTTAAGTATACACATTCCTTTGAACATTTTTATCAGTGGTGTGGACTCAGGTTATATGAGAGACAAGGGCTTTGGGTTCGGCGAGGGTTTATAAGGTTCTTTGTGTAGGAAGACAGGTCCGAGGGTCAGGAGTTCCTGAACAATTGTGCAATGGTTCTCTGTAATGATTGCTTGTTGGTGATCCTAGTCACGAGCCTTTTGTTTCTATCTGTGATTGCCCTATACCCCACACTCGCCAGGAAGGGAGGATATTCAAGACAGAGGCTAATATTATTTTTTCCAGGTAAGTTAAGGACATTCATACCTTGTATTTGCATACCACCTGATTTTTCAGAACATTTTCATCATTTCTCATTGCATTTTATTCTCACAGCAACCGTGTGAGGTATAAGTTCAGTTGTCCACAAGGCAGCTCAGGAATCAATCTTATTTATGGAGTCCTTTGCCGTTTATAGGTCATTTGGTGGCATAAACAGTTTGTGCTTATCTACGAACTTAAAGGTTGGAGGTTCGAACCTACTAAGAAGCACTGTGGAAGGAAAGCGTGGCAATGTGCTTCTGTAAAGATTAGAAGTTGTTGTTTTTAAGTGCTGTCAAGTCGATTCCGACCCATAGCAACCCTGTACAGGGTTTCCAAGGAGCAGCTGGTGAGCTTGAACCACTGACGGTGCAGTTCAAATGACTTTGCAATCTGATGCATTAACCCACAGCGCCATACCAGGACTCCTTAGTAGAAGTAGTTGTAGTTAAGTGCCATCGAGTCAGTTCCAATTCATATTTGTGACCCTGTATAGGGTTTCCAAGGAGCAACTGGTGAGTTTAAACAGCCAACCTTGCAATTCAAACCAACCTTGTAGTCCAGCCCATTAACACGCAGCACCACACCAGGACTTCCAAGAACACCCTATGGAGTAGCTCTACTCTGGAGCACACGGGGTCACCAGGAGTCAGAACTGACTTGACGGCAACAGGATTGGTGTGATGTTGTGGTTTATAAAATGCTTCTATCACCATTACTACGCTGACTCCTACTGTCAGAGATTTCTGTATACACAGTCATCTCCACTCATCAGAGGAGGAAAGAGAGACCTGTGAAACTTACGTGTCTTGACCAAGCTTCACAGCAAAGACTTGGATATTCTGATTTGGGACAGGGACACATGGTCTCTGGTGGCCTTCAAAGAGTCTGAGAGGGAAGGAAAAAGCTTACGAAAAAACTGTTTCCTCCCCTAGAGAAGTCCACCTCACGACACCATAGAAAAGTTCTATAGTTTCCATCACAAAAGGGCCACAAGTCCGAAGTCAACGCCCAACTCCTGCTCAAGGCCATGAGTTCACACTCATTAGTGATGCTTTTGGTAAACATGTGTCTCATGTGGTTTCTCTCTTGTTTCCTCAGAAGCAGTTCTGGGTTACTTACAATGGTGAGTCAGCATTTTGAGCCCACGCATCTCCCATGACCCACCTTCCCCCTTGTCCTCAGTGCACTCACCGATGCCAACTCTTCCCACAGATGGAAACCAGTGCGCTTCAGATCCCTGCCAGAATGGAGGTTCCTGTGAGGACCAGCTCCAGTCTTATATCTGCTTCTGCCCTCAAGGTTTTGAGGGTCGGAACTGTGAGACAAGTGAGGTTCTGCTTCCTGTCCTGTAGTATACAGAAAGGGGCCCTTGGGAAGCTGATAGGAGTCGAGCTGGTCAGTTGAGCGTCTGGGTTAACACCTTCTTAAGGATAGGGACCCGTCCAGGCTGGGCTTCAAGCTCTCATAGGATAGTGATGTAGATGGTCTTCCAAGATGAGAGTCTTGAATCTAAGATTCTAAGATGATCATTCACAAATTCTACTAGCCATGCCCACTTCTGAGAAATATAAAAATCTTGAGCCTCCAACACCAGTAAATCCGGGTACACCTGGAGAGGGAATGGTTGAGTCATTACCTCACCTTCCCTCGCCTACATTTCCCACCAGCCAAGACAGTTTGCGTAGCACAGAGATTTCTTTTTTCACCTTCAAATATGAACTTTTTGCAAAGTTTGAGACTCCCCAATATCATTTTCACTTCTGACACCAATCTCAAGTTCAGAAGCCCCCAAGACCATCCTCGGAAAGACTCAGCATGCTCCCTGAAAGCAGTTCTACTCATGGTTAGAGTTTCTGACAAGAGGACACAGGTAGAAATCAGCCAAGAGGAGCGGCACACGGGGGAAGAGGGGAGACAAGTTACAAGATTCCAGTCTTCCTCTCCCTGTGGAGCCAGAGACAGCATTTAACGTACCAGCAATGAGATGTGAACGCACCCAGGGTGGGTTACCAGCCGGGGAAGTTCACCTGGGTCTCGTGCCCAGGGTTTTTACTATTGCTCAGTCCCATATACATGGCTGACCACATACGTGTTTGACCTTTAGTCTCCAACTCCTCCAGAGATTAAGCTGATACCACCGTGGTCCCCAGCGGGTACCTTAAGTCACCTTGTTAGCATAGACAATCCAAAGTAGCTCAAGGCCCCCAGGCAAACAAAGGCATTCTTCTCAGGCAAAATATTCCAAGGGCTTAGAGATCACCTCCTAGGAGCTGAGAGCAAAGGCCAGACTTCTTTATGGGCAAGATGAATTCTCTACTGCACAAATGCACATTGTGATATTGAATGAGATTTTCTGGGCCACCCCTACCTTCGGTTCTAAGGTGAGTGCTTGGATGTGATGCATATGTTATGTTGGGAGGTGGAACAGCAATGAGGGGCGGCACTGGTCCACCCAAGCAGAGGACGAGATGTCCCAGGCCTCACACATCATGGGTCAAAAATTGTCCCCATCTTTTACTTAAACGTACAAGTAATACATCATCTGTCTGACCAGAACACTTCCATAGTTGCTTAATAAATCTTAGAGAAAATAAAGACTCATGATCATTTAGTTTAAGATGAGTTAGGTCATGGGGAATTTATATGCACACACATAAAATTCAACTTTCCCCCAGCTTCATAATTATACCGCTAAGAAATACGTTTATTCATTGGTCATTCAAGCCATGCTTTCATTCTATGATTTGATGCCTGAAGTTTGTATTCCAGTTAGTCATAAAATCTTGAGGATATAAAGTTCCTGAGGGAAAATTTGAGCCCTGGCATGGCACTGTAGGATAAGTACTCGACTAGTAACCGCAAGGTCAGCAGTTCAAACCCACCAGTCCCTCTCAGAAGCCCCATACAGGGTTGCTTTGAGTTGTAATTGGCTCAACAGCACACAACAGTAACAACAAACACCTGTTTGAATAAGAACTTTTGGACAAATGCTGATTCAAAGAATGCTGAAGACTATGCCTCTCCAGCAGCTTTCACCAACATGTAAAAGAAAATTATTCAGCCCCTAAACCCTTGGTGCTGTAGGATAAGCACTGGACTGCTAACCACAAGCCGGCAGCTCAAACTCTCCAGCCATTCCGTGGGAGAAAGATGAAGCTTTCTGCTCCTGTAAAGATTTACAGCCTCAGATACCCTATAGAGGGTCACTCTGATGTGGCGCTATAGGGTAAGTACTGGACTAGTGTGGTGATGGACAGCTAACCAAAGAATGCCAGCTCAAACTCCCCAGCAGATCCTAGGAAACCTTATACAGGGTCATTGTGGGTCGTAAATGACTTAACAGCACTTTACAACAACAACTACAACAGGAATCAGAACCGACTCAATGGCAGTGGTGCAGGGACCCACATACTAGGTGAACCCCTGATGGATCTGCTATTATGAAGGAACTTTCTGAGGAACCAGCCTTCCCTGCCTACGATGCCACCAGCAAGACATGTCCTGGGCTTTCCTACACTCACACTGGCACTAGACCATTGGTTCATGGCTTCTCTGTTTTATTGGTTTTGTTAGCTGCCTTGACTCATGGAGACCCCATTCAGTGGAATAGCACATGGCCCTCCTGTTCTGCACCATCCCCAGGGTCCATTGTGAATCGGACTGCTGTGACCATAGCACTTTCACTGACTGATTTTTGGAAGGAGTTTCTCAGGTCTTTCTGCTCCATTTATCGTTGTCTGGAAGCTTTGCTTAAACCTCCTGTTCAACATCATAGCAACACGAACACCTCCACCAAGTACTGGCTGTGTATGAGGTACCTTGGCCGAGATTCAAACCTGAGCACCTCACAAAAAAAGGCAAGGATTCAACCACTGTTGTTGCTGTTAAGCGTCATCAAGTTCCAATTTACAGTGACCCCGTATAGGGTTTCCGAGGCTGGTGAGTTTGAACTACTGACCTAGTGGTTAACAGTCCAATGCTGATCTTTCAGCGCCACACCAGGATTTTCTAGGATCCATGACATACACACCTACACACAGACACATAGATACACAGACTTCAAATACATCCACAGAGACACATCTTGTGCAGCCTTTGTAAGGGTTCACAGGCTCCCTGAGGCCCATTTAAGGCCTCATCTCTGCTCCTTCATTTTATTCTTTAATCACTGAACGTACTCCTTTATCAGCCTCCACGCATTGTCTATGGGAGCTCTGGTAGCGTAGTGGTTACGAATCGGGCTGCGAACCTTAAGGTCAGCGGTTCGAAACTACCAGCCGCTCCGCGGGAGAAAGATGAGGCTTTCTACTCCCGTAAAGATTTACACCCTCGGAAACCCTGTACAGGGTCGCTATGGGTCGGAACCGACTCGACGGCACTTAACAACAACAACAACAACAGTATTTCTTCCTAATGATGGAAATGACTATTTTTAATAAATTATTAATAACAATGAAAAGAATACCTCAAAACTGATCATTGACCTCTTGACCCCCATCCTTGATTTGTATCTATCACTTTATAGAATGAAGAATTCGAGTCCTTGGTGAGAAGGATGTCTAATTGTGGTTTTACAGAACAGTATTTTTCAATAGTCAGAAAAACATGTTTTTATTGTGACTTTACAATTTTAAATATATAACGAAAAATGAGTTACAAAATAGACAAGAACCCCAACTAACCACTATTAGCATTTTAGAAAATCAGTATCCATCATTTCTTGAGTGATGGACAATTGAAGCGTGGGTAAATTCTGCCTCTCTCAGTAAACCACGGTCATTCTCTGCCTCCCCACAAGTGCCTGATCTTCACTGTGAAGTTCAGTCTTAACAAAGCATCCAGTGAGCTTGCTTAGTCTCTTAACTGATGTTTTAGGGATTGGAACCTGGTCCACGGTAGGACAGTTGGGGACCATTGGATTAAACAAATGTGAATAGTCAACATGGAAGACAAGAAAGACTCTCAGATACCACTTACAATTGCCACAGCCCCAAAATTGTAAGGTCACAATAAAAAATAAAAATTAATTAATTAAAAAAAATTAAGTGAACAGGTGCCCTATCAATTATCTAAGGTCTCTAGATGATGCAAATGGTTCGCACTCAGCCACTGAAGTTTGGCAGTTCAAACCCATGTTACAGTCCTGTGGAATAAAAGTGTAGTGGTCTGTTTCTGTAAAGATCACAGCCAAGAAAACCCTGTGGAGCAGTTCTACTCTGTAACATATGGGGGCGCCATGAGTCAGAACTGACTCAACAGTGACTGATTTGGTGTGGTTGGGCTGGTTATCTAGGGCTAGAAAGCCATAATATTTTGTTTCAACCTTTGTTACTATAAACTGTAGTCCCTAGGCGGTACTCAAATGATAACCAAAAGGTTGGCAGTTTGAGCCCACACAGAGGCAGAAGAAAGGCTAATGTACTGAAAAAGCATCCACTGAGAACCCTGTGGGGCACAGTTCTACTCTGACACACACGGGG